TTTACACCATTGGGGTTTTGGGGTTTGTCTCCAAACAAAAAAGAAAGCTTGTATATGGGGCACATCAGACCATTTCCTTTCTTGTATACAAAAAAGATCTAACTGAAAAATGGTGTCATAATTGAGAGTACCCTCTGGTGGTTCTTGTTCACCATTGCAGAGTTGATACTAAGGCCAGGGCTGGGTGCAGAAGAAAACCACACAGTCTTTTTTCAGTACCTGGGGATGGAACATGTCCTAACACAGCCCAGCAGGGTGTTCTGGCAACACAGGCCATTAAATCAGGTACCGGGAGCCATAGTGTTCTCACCTGATTAAAGTTCTCTTGGCGAGGGAACATGTTACCTGGGAGTTTGCCTAGAGAGAGAACATTACCTACCTATGGGAAAGAACAAATATCTTAATCAATCCCATCCTCTGTGTTTCTGGGTTGTCAAAGTGACCTCTGACCAACCCAGGAAGTCTTCCAGCCAAACAAAAGGAAGATTCCCCCCTGTGCTTGGGGAAGGATCCCTGAGGAGACTGGCCTCCCCGGCCTTGCACTTGTCTAGATTTAGCCACAATTCCCCAGGGGCTCTGCTGTGCATATTACTCGCTGGCAGCATAGCCTGAAAAATAAGGTATCCAGGAGGCTGGTCCCACCTGATGCCAATGCAAGTTCTGCCCCTTTCTGTGCCTGCCCTGAGTATATGCCTGTCCATCAGAGTGGGGATGAGCCCTGACCTGGAGAAAATGGCTGTGCAGCGCTTGCACGTGTAACCTTTCATAATTCTCACAAGCTTTGTCTAAATTCCCAGTAACAAAGGAAAATAGGCTTTTCTTTCTTTCTTTCTTTTTTTTTTTGAGACAGAGTCTTCACTTTATCGCCCCCAATAGAGTGCTCTGGCATCACAGCTCACAGCAACCTCCAACTCCTGGGCTTAGGTGATTCTCTTGCCTCATCCTCCTGGGACTACAGGCACCCACCACAACGCTCCGCTATTTCTTGTTGCAGTTAGGCCGGGGCCAGGTTCAAACCTGCCCCCCTTGGTATATGGTGCCGGTGCCCTACTCACCGAGCCACAGGCACCGCTCCTGTTCCCTTTCTTTTACAGAAGAGACTGAACTGTAGCCTAAGGTTTAGGGCAATTCTTCCCAGGGGGTTGCCCTGAGCCTCCCCTCATAGGCTCCTGTTCGCCCAGAGAAGCTGTGTAGAGGAGTTATTTTGCTGTTTGGAGCCAACTTCGTGGCCTTTGTTAACATGGTTCAGCTTTTTCCTCAAACACACAAAAAGCCAGTGCAAAGCTTTCTTGGAGGTGTCTGTGAGGGCTGTGAGTGCAAGCACAGCTTCTGTGAGCTAGAAGCCTCCAGGCAGGTGGGAGCCACTGCCGCAGACAGGAAGTGCATCTGTGTCAACCCATCCCGGCCGCCTCTGCCCTCTCCCTCCATTTCTTGGGCTGGCCCAGGACACAGGCAAACGGACTGCCAGCAGCCTCTGCCCAGCACAGTCTTGCATGGAGTTCCCAGGAGCGAAGTGGAGCCTCAGGGAGTTGAGGTCAGAGGAAGAAACCAAAGCAAGAACAACTTCATGTCCTACAGATCACGGTCCAGCACCTTGGCCTCCAAATCTGGATGCCTCAGAATTTTACAAGATGGCTTTTTACTGTACTCTTTACTGTCCTGAGATAGAATTCAGAGATCGAAACACCCCAACACAGATACAGAGCCTCAAGCTGTCCCCCTGGGTAGAGTGCTGTAGCATCAAAGCTCACAGCAACCTCCAACTCCGGGGCTCAAGTGAGTCTCCTGCCTCAGCCTCCCAATAGCTGGGACCACAGGC